GTCATTGGTTGGGGCGCAAAGTACAGCACCATCGGCTGATGAAGTAGACGTCGAGGAGGAAGAAGAGGACGAGGAGGAGGACATATTCGGCAACGAGGTCAGTGAAGAGGACGACTTCGGTGATGAAGAGGACAATCCAGAAATTTTAGACCAACGAGACTTCCTCAGTGAGGCCTTCCACCGCGCCTCACGGCCCCATCTGCTGCCCAGGCAGCACAAATTTGCTGTTGACAGAGATGATATAGCATCTGGAGGTGGCGTTCTCTCCCGTATTACCTTTAACAACTCAGACACCTGTCTTCATCAACCCAAGTTTTCTTCAGAGAGACTAGAGGGAGCCTGTCTGCGCCCTGCTACCTCTATTCTCCGACGCAAGTCCAGTGAAGATGTCTACTTCTTTGAACAAGACCCTCCAGCTCGCCGTAACAGTGAGTTATCCATAGGTCGAACGAGAAGGCCGTGCAAGCAACATTCTCACAAGCAACTAGATTCCGCTGTTGGTGCTGCCGTTGACTGTAATAGTCGGATGCTGCAGCTTGCCAGGGCTGATCGACGTAAACTTCAGTCTGCACCCAAACCCCTCTTACTAACAACGGCTGAGATGAATGCTGCGGCTATTCCGTCAGAGCCCGAAAACCTTCCCGAGCAAATCATCAGATGCCTCTTCCAAGGTACTTCCTTTACCAAACCTTCCACTAATTCAGATGGCTGTAGTTAGCGAAAGTATGCCTGTTTCCACTAATTTATCACCAAGTCAATAAGATGCCTTTTTTGCGAACTATTATAGATAACAAGTTCAAAAAAACAAGATATGTAGCAAAGAAAGTGTATCAAATAAGCCCTTTCTGGCCCATTTACTGCTATCAGGCGTATTCAAGTCAAAGACTTAATTAAGGCAAGGGTGGCTGACCAGTACAAATGAACTTATTCCTCAGAACGGCAGCAATTCTTTTACTGTGCTCCGTGTAGGAATACGGTGACTCCCAATCATATTGAATAAGCTCTGCCGGTCTAACAGATCATAGGGGATATAGTAAATACCGTCAAAAACATTGAATACTGTAGTAGCTTGGCGCCCACTAATCGATTACGGGATTCACTCGTCCCTTGGGCCCCACAGCGGCCAGTATTGTAGCCATTGGATAGTAGATGACTCTTTTTGCTTAAGTAACTGTCGTCAACCAGCTGTAACCCAACTCCAGGTTTTGATGACTTATGGCTGAAGCCAAAGTCCTGGTTATTTTGCGTCGAGCCCGACTTTGTCATTAAGCCGTGGTTGTCGCTGGCCGGCGGCGGCTATTGAGCCAGAACTGGCCATTCCAGTATTGTTTTTTGGTATCTGTTCTGGTCGCTCTGTGGCTGCCTGCAAGGACTTCAGGTTGAACTCCGAAGCACAAAGGACGCACATGTTCCGTTCTGAATGTTTACAGGCCAACAACTCTCATGCGAAGGTGTTTAGTTTTTCACAGCCGCACTTGAACCACTGTCTTGGAGTTCCGATTCGTTTCTATATTTCATTTCACCTTCCTTTCACAAAAAATTCTGATAATTACCGGTATCAACCTTACCCTTAAAGGTAATAGAATTGCCAACAGTGAAATGGCGTGGTCTTCTTTAAACCTCTTGTAGGTAATCTCATTTCCTATGAATTTCTTATCCGAGATCCATGTTTTTTTTCAATATTTTCGTGAGTGAATGTTTTAGTTTCATACTCAGCCAGTTCATATACGCATGCGTTCATTCCAGGCGTTGGAAAAAATTGTTAAGCAGATAACTGTGCTTCTCGCCGTAATTAAAACCTACTCCTCCAGCCTTCTGAACTAGCCGTCTAGTTGCGGTATCACTGTTGCTTATTCTGTTTTGGAGTCACGTTTGTTGATCAAAACCAACTGCTTGTTACCAACATATGCTTTCAGCATCGTCACAAACATCTAGTGACTTGGTATTCAAATGATTTTCGTACCGCCAGTCAGATAGATTGCATTCTAGTTAGTTCAAGGTTTCGCAGCTGGGTTCACGCTAGCAGGTCGATGTGAGGTGCCGAAACTGGTAACGCCCACGGGTCTGGCCATGTTCTCGTTCGCACATGAGACAGTCCGCACTCGCTGCGACAGTATCGCACGGGTATCCC